CATACACACAAAGGATAGATAGATAACGTAGTGTATAGTATTTATTAATATAGCTAAACTTATTAATCTACAAAGATCTTATGATTGGATTTATTACGATTGACAGACGCAATTAAAAAAATTGCTCCAAATTTTATTAAGCCAACCTATTTTAACTTTCCAAATAAAAATATTCAGCACTATCAAAAATATATAATCATATATTTTTAAATTAATATATTAATTGTTGATGCTTGAATATGCTGTGAACATTCTTGGACATGTGGACGTTTGAACATTGAACATGATCATGGACATAGTTGACGCGACAACACTGTGTTATTCAGAGTAAACCAATAACCTAGGATTGGCTAGTAGGAATAAACTTAAGAATAGAGTTGATAAAGACTACGCAACGGTACTAATCTTTTTTTTTCTTTGGAAACATTATACGATACTTTATGTAAAATAAAAATAATAAAATACAAGCGTGACCAGCGGGAGTTTTCGAGTTATAGTTTATTATTAGATTTAATGTTTTGAGATAATAACCGATTAAACCGCTGTATCAAAATTATCGACTCGGCTTATAAGTTTGTTAATCGACTTATAAGTTTCTAATCGACTAAAATCATTATTCCCGTTCCTGTTTATGATCTTTGTTAAATGTATCAGCTCTACTTTTTTGTGCTCGTTTTTCCTTGTTTTGTTCAATAGCCTGTTTTTTCCTCTCTAAAGGATCGATAACTATATAATCATCCGGATCATCCCTCCTCTGCATTAAATCCTTACCTCTATAATCTTTTTCAAATACAAGACGATGTGATAACCATCCTTCATCGGTGTCCTCTGTTTGTGGTTGTCCAAACGTATCTCGACAAGATAAGCAATTAGGAACTGAATGAAGCATACATAGTTCTGCATTTTCACTTATCGTTACAGGTTTATCATCTTCCGGATCTGCAGTAAAAAGTTTGGATTGAAAAATTTTTCAACTTCTTCAACGTCTAAAAAAATAAACGTAAAAATCATGGGTGTCAAATTTGAAAACAGACACATTTAAAATAATGATATCACTTACCTCCTCTTCAGACTTTTTCTGCCTTTTAG